GCGTTACAAAATAAGTGTCGTTTTCAGTTTTCAATGCAAAATTTATTAATTTTATTATGTAACTAATTTTTCTATTGGTTAAAATATGGTTAGGTGTATAGGTAACTGTGTTTTTATATAGGAAATATGTAAAATTAATTGTTTCCTTAATCCGTGTGCACAGCTGTAGAGTGACACTTATAATGAAACAGAGGGAGTAGTTCATTATGTAGGAATGATCTAAACATATATATATATATATATATATATACTTACAAATTGCATAGAATATATACAATAATAGATATTTTCAGGAAAAAAAGACTGTGTTGCATAATACAGCATTCATTTAGGGAAACGAATAAAAAACCTAAAGCTTATTGTATAAAGATTTTCTTTGTTAAAGGTATAGAACAATAAACAATTCCCTTCTACACAAAATTAAAATGTAATAAAGCAGATAATGCAGTTCTATTATTTTTATTTTATGAACTAACCTTCAGCTTTATAGTGTTGTTCGGGTCCATTTTCTACATTGAATGTATGGATTTAATATGTAAAATGTATTGCAAAGAAATAAAATTTGGTTATGATTTGCATTGACTGTTAAGAAAAAGAACAAGAAAGGGATTATGATCACAAAACATGACAACAGACAACAAAATGAAATATCAAAGTTTATATTCTGCTGCGTTCACTTTGATGTCCTAAATGAATGATAAATATATAGAACACAAACTTGCATCGCATGCCGATCTTGTTTTGATTTTTGTTTTCTTGTTTATATATATAACGTACCATACAACAAGAGAAAATGAAAATATAAAAAAGTAATAAGAAAACCGAATTTTTACCCCACAAAAAATAAATATAACTATATATATAAAGGTCGGTACAACGCTAATACACTTGTCTTTTTTTTTGTCACTGACGCTAATACACTTGTCTTATTTCATTATTTTATCATTATTGTCTCATGATATTGGATTGCGCTGATTTTCTAACACTCGCCTTGATAAACTAAAACAAAAAACCCAATTTATATAGTAAAAGAACTGAAAATAGGACAATATAATTTAATAAATAATGGAATATTAGTTTTATGGAGGTAGAAGAATTTTTAAATGAATAAATTTAACAAATATTTATGGATTTTCATCAAATATTTTTATACATTAAAATGTTAATAGGGTTTTTGTTAACTCTTGTATTTATGCACCCTGAATCGGGTTAAACAAAGAATTACTGAGTTTGTTTTTAAAATTTTACTACAATCTCAACACCAAGAATAAAATTTATCGTTATATAAAAAGAAAAAAAAAATTATTCGATGACATAAGGAAATCAGTTTAAAAGTTTGTATAGAACAAAGAATTGCCATTAACGTAGCAGCCAAATAGTCAATAAATTGGAGGCAGACAAAGCATTAAGTCATGAGACTCGTTTCAAAATCATAAGGGCTGTAAGGCGCCTGTAGACATGAGAAATACGTGGCCAATCTAAAAAACATGATGTTAAACAACACCATACTTCTAATTTTGATAATGTACCCATAAAAATTTTAAAAGTAAAAACAAAGCCGTTTAAATATTTCGAATATCACCAAAGATTGCAAGAAAGCTATATATGATCATAAAACCAAATAAATTATGAGTTTAATAACATTTCACGTAGTTGACCAAACTTGAAGCAATGACATTGGACATTTTCTTGTGTTGTTAGCTTTTTAATTCATGCCAAGTTGCCAACGATTCAATAGGGTTTTGTAGAATAACGGTCATAGGCTGAATTGTTAGAAAGATGATTCATCTCATACTTCTCGCTTTTTTTTTGTATATTTGATCTCAGTATCGAAATGTTTATGAAGCAAAAGGATTTATCAATCAATTTCGATTTGTCATTCTTTCCTGCTAATAAATACCTGAATGTGTATAGCCAATGTGTACAAATAACTTTCTTATAACTAACCAGCATAACATTATACTCTTCAAAAATAAAAACGATGGCTAGACATTTTTCCGTGGTTAGTATCAACAAATGTTTACTTGTTTAATACAGTATATACCTCAGATTGTTCTTTTTGTCCTCTTTTGACCAAACGGCGTCTATTTTTTAGTCATTAGTGCCACAAATCACTTCAAAGACAACTTCTAATCCGGTGTTGAAATATAAGAGCGCTTATAAGAACTTAAGTCCCCGATAATGCAGATAGTAACCTTTTATCAAACCAAAGGTGATTAATGTACAAAAATTAGGTTAAAAGTTGGGCTATCATTTAGAAGGCATTGATGAACTTTTATAAGAGCAGACATGAGTCAAGAAACTCCTATTCCATTCAGTGAGGTTTGTGCTTGCAAGCTAGTTTTGTATTCCCACGTAGAGCCGACCTGATATATAGAAGCGAGTCCAAACAATCTTTTGGCCCCATATTTGTTAACTTTTTTTTTTTAAAAAGAATCTAAAATTCTCAAATATCTCATTCCACTGATTCGAACCAACAATCTTGAAAACTCCAATACTAACTTTCACCAAGTCTCTTGGTGATCTTTATCTGCTATATTTGACCCCTAAGATTAATAAACGTTACCCTAAGCTAATGCTTTACTTGTTTGTAGCCAAGACCGGGTCTGTTTCCACGCCATCTTCTTTTCTTATGAGCCATCTTTCATCTTCACAATTAGGTCAAAGGTTCATTTCTTCCAACAATGTTGAATATGTTAATATTGTACAGACGTAGGCCTTGGTGAGTATTGTTAATCGTCCACGGGATGACTAAATTTTAAACGGACCTTTTTTTATTGCGAGTAATACATTTTAAACTGAGTGCTATAAGAACATCCACATCAATGAACCCCAAGATGGGTTCATTGAATCAATTTTTTATTATTAAAATTTGTCTGTTTTCTTTTTGATTTTCTTTAAAAAAAAAAAAAATCTAAATCAATCCCGGGCCGCCACGTGGTGAACCTTAGGAGAGAGGGGTTCACCCGAGAGAACTTTAGGAGAGAGGGATTCATATGTTTTTGTTATTTTATTATTATTTTTTCTTGATTTCCGTGTGAATTCTCCCCCATAAACCCTCAACGGAGGTGCTCTAATGATCAAGGAGTTCTCACTTAAACAACTGCGATTATTCAGCCGTTCCGACAACTTTTAGACTCAAAAGCGCACGCGAGATAACACTTTTCTTTTAACTTTTGCGAAAGAGAGATTTCCAAAGAAAGGGAAAAGTAGTAAGACAATTTGAAATGAAATGAAATAAAATAAATTAAATTAAATTCGTACGAAAGAAAAAAGAGAAGACAAATACAAAAGCATTACAGAGAAGCAAGAACAAGAAAAAAAAAAAAATCAATGTGAAAAGTTTCAGTATCCTAATAATCTCCCATTCACTCCCTAATTTGGTTAATTTTACAAACCAATCCCACGATTTGTCAAAACTTACAAAAAACACCCACAATCTTAAAAATACACACATCTCACAAAATGTAAACTAGGTACACTCACACAACGAACCAAAGATCCTAAACCCAAATTAGTTCTTGAACCACATTCACACGGTTTCAATGCTCTTGCTCAGCTCCTCCAGCTTCTTCATCCTCAACTTCTCGCTTTCTCCTACCAACTGTTCCATCTCCCCAAGGAAGAAAACCAAACACCATTTATGTATAACTAGCGATAAAAACAAACCTCTGCAAATTAGGATTATAAAGATGAGAGAGCTCAGAACTAACCTCCATGAGTTTGGTGATCAGCTGCACTTTCTCCCTGTTCTTCTCATTAAATGTATCAAGTGCTTCTTTGTATTCCCTTTCCTTTTACACCCAAAACATTCACTTGGTTACTAATTACATAAAGATCAAACCTTTGGATGTGTTTATATCATTTCAAAGAGTGTTTGTGTACCTTCTTTTGAACAGTGGAACCTAAAGGTTTGAGTTCTTTGTTAACACTATCAATCTTCTTACGAACCATAGACACTTCTTTCCTCATAGGATCTGCCATAGACTCAAGCTCCTGTAAAAGAAACAACAAAATTAACCATGAGAAACAGAACATAACCACATCAAACCAAACTGTTCATGTCCGAAGAGACAAAAAGAAAAGTCAAAGATTCTTCTTTTCATTTTGACCAATTCAAGATCTTGAACACAACCCACATCAAATAAAACAAAACCAAACTGCTTCATGTCCGAAAAGACAAAAAAAAAAAGTCAAAGACTTTCTTCTCACGTTGACCAATTCAAGATCTTGAAAGAAGAGAGAGAGAGAAAGAGAGTAGAATCTAACCTCGCGAATGGTGGAGAGTCGTCGGGTTTCTTCCTCGACCCGACCCAACTGAGCTTGGATCCGTTGACGAACCTCCATCCTCCTCTTGTCAATCTCATCTTCTTTAGCTCTAAACGCAGAGAGCGCAGAACGAGTCATCTCTTCGTCTTCTTTAGACATATGGCTGCTGAAGCTCAAGCTTCCAGTGTGAAGAACCATCTCGTTACTCTGCGGCTGAGGAGGCTCCGTCGTGGCGGCGGGTCCCGTTGCAGCTCCGGCGTTGGTCTGAGTCATCTTTGGTTTCTCTTTGTGGTTTTTGCTGTTCTCTTTCCTCAAACCAAAACACGAACTAGAGTCCTCGGTGGAGTTACGGTGGGGTTCTTCGAGTAACGCTATGTTTGCTAATTTAGAGAAGCTTTTGTTGGAGAGGTGTGTTTTAATGGTGGAGGGCGTCTCTGTTTTGGTTTGCTGGATTGTTAGTGGGTTTCGGTTGTCTTTTACTTTAGTAAAGGTGGTTTGGTTTTAATTATATCATTAAACCTAATCTTCTACTTAATCAGATTAGTTGTCTTCAGACGACCTAGTTTTAAGGAATTGACTAATGTTTTATTTATTTACTAGGTGGATACCCGCAATTTTGCGGGTTTGAATGTTTTGTAACAATATATTTATTATATTTTGTCCAATTAAGATATTTTTTCATCATCAAAATTTGTTTTATGTGTGTTACTATTAAATATTTTTAAAAATAATTATTTTTGAAAAATATGATTATGACTATTTTAAATATCTGTTGATATTTTGTATTTAAAATTTTTACCAAAATTAGTTATATATAATATTCATAATTCAGTTTTTAATATAAATGAGTTTTGAAGGTATGTAGTATTAAAACATTTGATTTTTAAATAATTTATAGCTAAAGTCATATGTCTTTATTAAAATTTAAAGATAAAGCAATATGATTGTTACACATTCTCTATATATTCGTATTCAACTACATAAGAGTAAATATAAAACTGCTATATCAATTATATAAATTACTTTTGAAATATATTATATAGTTTATAAATACTTGAGTAATAAAATGATTTTATGAGCATTACATATATTTTATATAAATCACATATTTAATTACCATAAAATATTTTATGAAATATTTTTATATCGTTTGGATACTGGTAAAAATTGGTTCTAGAAATGATTTTCTTACTCATAAAATAAAAAAAAATATAAAATTTATTAAAGAATCAAATTATAATAGTTTTTCTAAAACTCAAAGACACCTACAAATATTAATTAAGTGAGTTCTCATTTAATATAAAATAAAGACCAAATAATTCGATGGGAGTAGTTGCCGAACTATACCACAGGAAACAACCGAGTTAGAGCTGTAGCTATGAGCGCGATCCAAAGCTCCCTACCAATCTATGATACATGAATAGGACAAAGATTCCCCGACTTTTTCAAAATACATTTTATAAATTAATATATAAGCTTCTATAAATGACTTAGAACCTCTTATAATAATTTAAAACATCTGATAAGGCAATCTAAATAATTTATAAGTTTATTTATAATTTTATAAATGATTTATAAAGCATGCATGAAATTTATTAAACATTAATAGTCATTATGATACTTTATATACAAATATAAGGCTTTTTATACCAATATAAAATCATTATATCAATTCAAATAAACATTTTTTTTTTATTTTATGTAATTTATAAATAAAAAATTGATCACATTATTACTCTTTCATAGTTTCAACAATTAGTTACCATAAATAATTATTTCTTAATTAAGTAGATTATTTGGAAAGTTGTAATTGAGTTATCGTTAAGATATAATTATAATAAATAAAATAAAAAATCGTCGACCAATCAAATTATAACAATTTGAAGAGTCCATGTACGTAATAAAAATCACTTATGTTATTTCTCAATCAATATGTAGTAGATTTTATCTTTTTATAAATAATTTACAATATTTTATAACTTACTTTAAAATTCAGATAAATTATTCTTTAAACAAAGCTAAATAATTTTAAAATAATATTAATAAACATGCTTGGATTTTGTAATATTTAAAATAGTTATTATATAATTATATTCGAATATAGTTCATCAAGTAGAGTATAAAACTATTATAATTATCTTATATAAAATCTCGTTCATTATATTTTATATTTTATAAATATTAAAAGTAATAAATAAAAAATTATTAATCTTTCTATAATTTTGAGATTAGTTTCCATAAATTTTTATTTGTAATATTCTTTAGATTATATGGCAAGTGACGTTAAATGATTTTAGACTTACCATAAATTTTTAGATCTAAATAAAATAAATAAAAATTAAGAACAATCGACCAATCAAATTATAACAATTTCTTGAAACTTCACATATGAGCGACACGTCACCAAAAATCACTAAAGTGACTTCTCATTTAATATATAAGAGGATTACTGGAAATAAATGTTCAAAACTTGTTATTGAAAACTTATATTTATTTTTTATGCATATTTACCAAATTAAATATTATCTTATTACTATTAATTTTAAAGAATAGTAAATATCTAATTAAGCTTGTTAAAAAGGGAGATATAAATATCTAATTATAGAAAATAATATTTACAATCCAACTTTGATGTGTTTTAATATATTTAAAACAAAAAAAATCTAAATAAGTATTATTTTATTCTGTTTTGTTTCTTATTATTTAATTGATTTAACATTCTTTCGGAAAGAAGATGGAGCTGCAAAGGAAAAGCAGAAATGTGTGTCAAATTGTCAATACGTAAAATAGGAATCTATATAATGTGTATATATTTTAATACAGATCTGGTATGGCGTATACTTTTTGTGAAATATTACAGAGTGTTTCATATTTTATTTAATACTAGATATGGATCTGTGCGTTGCACAAATTTTTTTTGATGTTTAATTTTTGCGGACATATAAAAAATGGAAATGTTTTTCACATTGGACCATCTCCAATGTATTTTGTTATTTTCACTCTAAAATAAATGATCTCTATAATAGAGATGAAATATGATCCAATATATTCCTCTATAATAGTAATCTCTAAATATATAGTAAAAATAGAGGATTTCTATTTTTTCCTTTATAAGTATATGAAAAAAAATAGAAATCTCTATTATAGAGAATGACATAGAGATGGGTTGGAGTAATTTCACCTCCAAATGCCATTATAAAGATTAAAATAACAATGAGTTAGAGATGTTCTTAGTTTTTGAAATTTTCAGTATATCTTAATTTTAATAATAATCATTTGTTTCTTACATAAAATTTGACTGATATTTATATTTCAATAATTATGGTGTTTTAAATAATATATTAATATTTTTAATTATTTTTAATATAATAATAGTTGTAGTTAATTGAAACATATATAATTGTGAACTCTCCATATTATTTATCTTGTGTAAGGCAAATTAAAAACAACACAAGTAAATATATTAAGACTACACAACACCAATCAATATCTATTATTGATAGTCAGTTAAATATCAAATATACTGCTAAATAAAACATCAAATATCTTTACTTTAGCATTTATGGTGTGACTATTGTCGTTATGTTCTAAAAAATTTGAAACTATGGAGTTGTAATGACTCTTGATAGTCTGATGTATAATTGTAAGACTAGACTTGGCAAATATAGACCAACATTTTTAAGATTTAATCTTAATTTTTGTTGATAGAAATTGCATAACAAACTCATATAAAAAATTTAACGTCATTTCAGTTTGAAAGACAATCTTGCATATGTTGGTATGAGACTTATGGTAGGAATAAAAATCTGTTTTTTTTAAAAAATAAAATTTCTAGTTAGGATTTCTACTTCAGTAATCATGTTGAGTATCAAATTATTAGTAATATCGTCCATTACAAAGCCTTTTTTTTTTCAATTTTTTTAAGTTACATAACCTACAACATTCCATTTCAAAGTCATTTTCTTTTATTTTAATTTTGTAGTATCATGATCTGCAATAGCATAACCAATTTTATATGCCGATAAGAAAAAACACACATAAACATTATCACACATAAGCATAATAGTCATATTACTCATTAAACTTACATAAAACAATATATACAAACACTTAGTATAATTGTAGGAGTAATTAATGTACGACAACATGATAATAATATATTTAAAAAAAAAGAATCAACATCTATTTAATGTGAAAATCAGGATGTCACATATTATTTCCTCTACATGTAATACCCAAAAGACCAGTAGACCACGCGAAGATGTGAATGAATAAACATAAAACTCATTTAATGTTATTTTTGTATCTCTTATTATATTTGCTACCAAAATATGAGAAGTGACAAAACATGAACGAACTTAATCACACACAAAAACACACACACACACACACACACATATATATATATATGTGAATAATTGTAACTCCTTTTCGTTTATACTTTATAAAAATTATATCAACTATTTTAATTGGAAAGTGGATTATTCCAAAAACATTTTGATTAGGATTTGAAGAAGGGAAACTATTTAAACACTCTTTTACAATTTTCTTACGTTTCTTATGTTAGAAAATGACAATTACTATTAAATATTTTATTTTCTGACAGTTATATTTTCATTAGAAATTTAGAAGACGAAAGTTGGTATTAAATAAATTATTTGATTAATATTCTTTTGTTTAAAATTTTTAAAAAGAAAAAAGTAGAGAAAAATACAACTAAATAATTTCTTTTCGTTTAAAAATTGCTCTTATCATCTTATTATATATTTTATTAATCATGAGATATTTTATTATATAACAAATTTTAAAAGGAAAATTACTATCAAATAATCTTTTCCAATTCTATTTTCTTTAGGATTTTAGAAAAGGAAATCTAGTATTAAATAAATTATTTTACAAATATATTTGTCTTTAGGATTTAAAAAAGGAAATTTTCTAAAAATCCATATTAAAAAAAATTTAAAAATGAATTTTAATTTTTCAAAATAAATAGTTTTGAAAATTATTTTTTTTCAAATTTTTTTTTGTTATTTTCTTTGTATATATATTTTAATCATGAGATATTCTAAAACATGTCAAAATTTCTATCAAATATTTATTTGCAATTATATTTTGTTTAGGATTATAGAAATGGAAAATAACTATTAAATAATATTTATAATTAATTTTTTTAAAAAATCAGTTTTAGTATCTTAGTATATTTATTGTTAATTATGATATAGTTTAACACATATCACAATTATAAATATATAACTTTCATATGTCACAATCATGTTAATTAACAACTTTGAAGAATCAATCTCAATATAATCTTTTACAAATTATTTTTCAAAATCTTTTACAACTTTTTTTCATTTTTTTTTGTTTAGGATTTTTGAAAAGTAAAATTTCTAAAAAAATACTATTATATAATTTTTAAAGTTACTTTTTTACTAATAAATAGAATTTGAATGTACTTTTTCA